TCAGGCTCTGCCAAAAAGGCTTAATAGCTTTTCTTGAAGGGAACTGCAGTTGTGTGGCACAACCAGAGAATACTTTTCACCAAAGATAGCCTCAGGAGCCAAAAGTATGTTCAGAGATGGCGCACAAACAGGTATCAGAAGAGTCATAGGAGCATAAGAGATCCTTCAGTATCTGGTCTTGGTTACTCACTGAGGCACTTTACTCCTGTTTTAAGGAAAACAAGAATGCCAATCTGGGTTAACTTCAGCATTTAGAACCCTTGTTCCCAGGCCAAATGTTCAGGCATAGTGAGGACAATATAATATTCTGTACCTATAAACTGCACTGTGTAAACCAATTAAGTATTTTTAGTTTATTTTGCACAATACAGGTAATCCTCTACGTAGACCACAATTGAGCCCAAAATTTATGTTTCTAAGTGAAAAATTTGTTAAGTTAGTTTTGCTCCATTTTACGACTTTTCTTGCCACATTTGTTAAGTGAATAACTGCAGTTGTTAAGTTAGTAACAGGGTTGTTAAGTGAATCTGGTTTCCCCATTGACTTTACTTGTCAGAAGGTCACAAAGGGGATCACATGACTCTGGGACACTGCAACCGTCGTAAATATGAGTCAGTTGTCAAGCATCTGAATTTTGTTCATGTTGTAAGTGTGAAAAATGATCACGAGTCAGTTTTTTCAGTGTCGTAACTTTGAATGGTCACTAAATGAACTCTTTTGAGTCAAGGACTACATGTAGTCTTTTTTTTCTTCCTAATCGTATACTAGTTACGAAAGTTTCTCTTCCTGATGCTTGGATTCTGAGAGTTGATAAGCACTGATTGTATTATCCTAAATACATTTTTGCAGGTATAAGATTCAAGCACTTTAGTACATAATTAAACCAATGCTGCAGTCCTGGTGGCAAGAACAAAAGATGTTCCATGACACATTTTGAATTTTACACTTTTGCAATGGGAGCAGTTTTGATTAATTAAGTCAAAAATTAGTGTAAGTCAGCCAATGAAATAACAGTGAGAATTTTTTTAAAATGCAGAAATTCCCTTGGGGATTTTTAAAAAATATTATCATCACTAAGGTCGGAATTTTAAATGGAAGATTAATATGGGGTGAAAAGGTCTCTATTTCCTCTTGAAAGGCTATTTTTCCATTCAAAAGAGTTTGCTTTCCAAATGGGTTAACCTCTCCTCCTATGAAGGAGAGAACTACCTATAAAAATGTTGCAGGCAGGAAAAAGTATATATGATCAGAGCACCCATTGGAGGAAGGGTATCAAAAAAGCCAAGATGGCAGTTGTGATCATGCAACGCAAGCCCCTGACCCCACAAAGTCCTGACCAATTTTACTCATGCCATATGAAGTATTCCTTGCATGTAATAGCATGCCATTACATTTTGACACATTTTGGCTACTAATACGCAAGTGTAACCAGAGGCCAGATTTGCCCCGGGGATGTTCACACTAATATATACAAGCTATGCAATCTAGGGAGTATCTTGCAAGTCAAAATACTGTAGCCCACATTCCATTGATAGGGAGGAAATGCAGTATAGTGACCCACAGATAATTTTTAGAACTACTGGTAGGAGTGAGCTTGAACCTGACCCATATCTTAGTCTAATTCCATCTTTGTTCAGTAGTACATTTGAACATTTTAGGGGCTCATATTATGCACCTACCTTAAATTATGCCATATTCACTCTTAAAGTGGGCCTGATTTATATATGTTATTCAGACTAATTATATATGCCTGGATTACATACAGAAATAGGTTAAAATAGAAATAAAAGTGAATTCTTACTTTATGGAAACATACCAATAAATATTGATATTTTTATCTGCATGCAAAACAGATATCAAATGCCAATGACTAAGAGATACAGTGTAGAAGATGCAGAATATTTACTTCTAACCACCTGCTATTTACTTTAACTTAAAATCAGCCATATGGGAGCCTACTGCAAACTGGTTGAATGTATTGCATGAGGAGATACTGTTCAGAAAACATCCTTGACTGATCTTTGAGGCAAATAGTCTCAGGGTATGTGTGATGTTATTTTGGTTGGGAATTGGAGAGTGCTTTTTCCATTTTTGTTATTCAATAAAAAATAATAAAAATACAAAATACAAAGCTTCTGAACATTTATAGGGTACTTAGTGATGTCAATGGAGATTCTCAATCATTCAGGTCATGATTATCTCAAAGGTGCCTTTTCAAAAGGCAACTGGACTTTCTTGATTTTTTCACCTTTAGGGCACTTAGTGATACATTTTTTTGGGTGGCTTACAGTAAAACCAAAATAATATATAAATATCTACATAACACTTTTAAATCATTGGCAGAATAATTTACATTTGTTTTCTTTTTTAAAATGTTTAATAAGTCAGTTTTCAAACTTATTAGGAGTGTAAAAATTAGCTTTCAATCAGCTAAGATGGTACAGCTAAGATGGTAAAGGAGAAAGTACAGGAGAGATAGTTGAAAAAATAGTTATGGATGCTGTGGCTACAGTCCTATCTAATTCTTTCTGACATACTTTTAAAAGATGAAATGAGATCTCACCTGTACTGATCTCACCTTACATTATCAGAACATAATTTACACTTTTTACCAGAGATGTTCATCTCAGAATATAATTAATATCATACTTTATTTTTCTGCTTTTCTGTTTTTCAAGATTTAACACTCTACATTAAATGTAGGAAAATATGTGGGAAATTGGCCCTTATCCTTGGTTTCATTCAATGGAAGGTTCACATGAATCATATCTTTTTTATTCAAGGCAGTAAAACAATAAATTAAAACAGAAATAACTCCAAGACCTATTTCAATATTTACTTCCTCACAAATAGAATTTCATGAGATTCAGACATAATCTTTCACCTGTAACCCTTTTTCTTCTCAGTAGAGTAGTTCTCTTGCTTATGTCTCTTAAAACAAAAGTGCTTATAAAGGAATAGCATGGACACGCAACATCTTGTTTTTTTTCTTCCATACAATTATGTCCAATTCTTGTAGACAACATGGATAAGTCTCTGCAGTTTTCTTGGTAAGATTTTTCAAAATTGGTTTGCCATTGCCTTTTTCCTAGGGCTGAGAAAAAGTGACTGGCTTGAGATCACATAGTTGGCTTTGTGCCCAAGGCACCACTAGAACCCACCTTCTCCCAGTTTCTAGTTTGATGCCTTAACCACTATACCAACTGACTGTCTTTTTACTGGTAATATCTGTCAAAAGCTACTCTTGGGTATGAACAAGGCTTTTATCATGCAGTTGGTTGTTCTGTTCAGAGAATTTTACAAGGAGATCAAACATGTTCATAATCTATTTGACAACCTTCTTTTTTAAAAATTAGTTACTTTTACTTGATTTTTTTACTTTTAATTAGTTACTTGAACTCTTTTGACAGGTAAATCAAGGAGCATTCAGGGATAACTCCAGTATTCAGTCTCTTCCTTTTTGAATCTCTGTAACCTTAAGAAGTGATGAGACAAAACTACTGGTAATGTACTGTGTTTCCCTGAAAATAAGACCCTGTCTTATATTTTTTTGAACCCTGAAATAAGCGCTTGGCTTTATTGCCAAGCACTCAAAAGCCCGATTGGGCTTATTATCAGGGGACGTCATATTTTGGGGGAAACAGGGTAAAAGAATCCCCACTTGAATTGACAGTTCCTATCTTTGGCACTAGATATTGCCCTTCACCTGTCTAGCTGGATAATAAAAAGGGAAACTGTTCTTCCTATTCAGAATATCTCCCTTTCTATCATCCATTACCACCTCCTATTTGTGACATTAAAAACATATTGGGGAGCAAGAAGTGGAAGGAAGCTGATGATAGGACTTGAACCAACAATGAGTCAGAAAAAATACATTTGTCTTTCACCCTACTTTCATAGTGATTTAAAGGAAGACAGTCCAGTTTTTATGGAAAGACAAAGCAATACAATGGTAACAATTTTATCCTAACCATTTGTAAGAATTATCTGCAAAAAATATATTTCAAGAATATCCAGGATCCTAAATTCAGAACTGTTTCAGAAATGAATAAATATACCGCACAATCATAAAGTGGCAAACAGTAAACTATAATTTTGAAATACTTATGATTTCAGCAGTGGCTTCCAAATTGGTTAGCTAAACTTGGAGTGTTTAGCTGATAATGGTTACCTGCCAAGCATTTGGAGAGTTGGTTGATGGACTTCCCTAAGCTGGGGATCTGAAGAATTAGTCTATATTTAATTTTGCTAGGTATTTAGAAAAATAACATTAGGCACTTTAACTTCCTTTGAGGATACAGTATCTAAATAATAGAAACAATAGTACTATCAGAACACTCCATTTTCCCGAAGATACACAGGACAAATTTTTCTGACATGGTTGTATATGTGTGTACATATAAAACATTGGTTCTGTATGTTCCTGCAGTCTGGTTTTCAATAAGAAATATGGACCCTGATAAATTTTTCAGTTGTAGTCAAAAGACTGTCCTTGAGAACGATCAAGCTGATTATCAAATTCTTGAGATTCGGCATTCTTGTATATACAACAGTTTGTGTAAACTGAAGACATAGACACCATGGGTGAAAAACACAGAACTATCTGTATTAACATTGTGGCTAAATTAAAGCATTTCTCTGTAAAGGAATAAACAGCATTATGCCTTTATGATGATCCCCCTCAAATGCACAGGTTAAAGTGTTAATCCACAAATTAATTATTTTTCATATCAGAAATTATTAGTCTGATGAAAGCTTTGTTCTGTCCAGGTTAGTCATGGGAAGTCACTAGCCTTGTTTACAAATATAGCCATGATGCTACGGGGCACATACTATGAATTCATTATATAGATAATTTTAAACAGAGTAAAACTGAATCCTAGCTCTACAAAAATCAACAGTAAAAAAAAAAAAATCCAGTGAAATATTCATTTTCTTAAGAACCTCTGTATATTTTGAGTGACAGAGCTAGGAAACTTCATGGAAAATAGCACACCTACCCCAGGCCGACGTTCAAAATATGCCAGTCTTGATTTTGTTAAGACGAAGAATCGAACTTTAAAGTTGGAAGGGGAGGTTCTTCTCTTTTGCTGAGATTTTTTGATCAGTTCTTCTTCCAGAAGAACACAGTTATTCATTGCCAGCATGTAATGATCCAAATTCCAGGATGAAAAGGGATCTGCTCTTAATACTCCACACATGAGACCGGGAAAATGAAATTAGAGACAAAGACTGAACTGTCTCAAACATGGATACAAAAAACAATGTAGGTGCTTTATCTTTCCATCTGTCATCCAGGCAGTACTGTTCTATAGCTTCCTTTCTGATACAAAAGCCATAACCACATCCTTTCAAACACACTGCGCAATACATTATAATTTATGTTACACATGTAATTGAAAGATAACTCAAACGGAAGCTTGAATTACAACTGTTTGCTGTTAATCTAAAAAATAAATGCTTTGGTGAAAACACTTGGAGCCAAATTTTCCTTATGAAAAAAAAAATCCACAAAAGTATTTATTTACTTTTGTTTACTTTCTACTATTCAGATTTAGGAAGGATTGAAATTAATATTTTTTAATCCTTGACATTTTTTAACTTGATTCCAAAGTTCAGATTTTTAAATTATTAATATACTTGGGATCTATTCATTTCAAGGAAGTCTTGAGTATGCTTAATTTATGTTGATATTTCTTCATGACATTGTAGAAAATATATGCAGCGATATTTTATTGACTTTATAAAATATCTCTGCATATATCTCTATAATATAGAGAAATAGATGACCTAAAATTTAAGCACTTATTTCTCAAATACAAACAAAGCCACCAAAATAGATTAACCATTATTCATTGAGCAAAACAGATAATTGAATGAAATAATTTGGCAGAGATCATAATTTTTGACTGATTATAACTATATAAAATTATAACTGCTTACATTTTTAGGGTGTTTGAATGATTTTTCTATCTATGAGCTCATTCCCTTACTCATTTGTTATCTTTTCAATTTATTGTGTGCTCATTTAGTTGTTTTGTTGTGTTCAGTGGTTCAACCAAGAATATTATCATGTTGTCTGAGTTCAGTTTCAGCCAGTAGAATTTGTGGGTCCGCAACTATTTTCAAATAGTTGTTTCATTGTTTTGACTTAAAGTTTAAGGAAAGCATGTAAGGTATGTGGAAGAATGTGGATTATCCCAATTGCTTGACAGGCTGATTAAATCAGCTAGCATGCGGACTGATAACATGCATAAATGGAGGTAGCCAGGTATCTCCTAGCAGGAGAGAGACAATAATCTTTCTATCAAAGAACCCTCCCTTGACCAAGGAGATCTGCACAATTAGAGGGCAGTCTTTAAATATTCTAGAAATTATTATATTCCTAGAAAATGTCATCAAGGTAATAGTTTTACAGATGTAGATTCATTTAAATGATATTGATTTGTTTAACTTATTTGAATCGGATTTCAAATGTTTGGTTGCTGAAGTTGCTAGGTGGTTTTGAGGGATTATATTTTCTAGAAACTGCATGGGGGAGACTGTCTTTGTCAAGCTTCCACTCAGCAGTTTTAGTATACTTGACTACTGTATTCTTCTGAACTGCCAGTCAGGATTGAGCTTTGGCTGTGATGTTTTACAGGAATATAATACTTTATTTAGGGCTATGTGACATAGATGACACTGATGGACTATAATTGACTTATAGTCAATCAACCTGCAAGATTCCATATTGGGCTCATCGACATAACTATGTTGACAAAGGTTGAAATGAGGTCAGTGTGTTGATGATATCCAGTTCAATTGCTCCTTACCATCCATCTCCAACAAAGTCCAATATGTAATGAGATAGATGAGAATGACAGAATGAAAAATATTTTATGAAAGAAGGTTTATAGCCTGGAAGTTACCCTTTATATTCAATTGTCACTGGATTATTAGTAGGAAGCTGTGACTTCCTACTAATAATCCAGTGACAATTGAATATAAAGGGTAACTTCCAGGCTATAAACCTTCTTTCATAAAATATTTTTCAGCTGTGACAAGAAATGCCTTTACAGAATTATGCCTAGCCAATCATCACATATTTTTTTTGTCCCATATTTAAAGAAAATACTTCCGTGCTGTGTTCGGGGCATATTTGCTATGAGCTCTCTGTGGAAGCTACTGCTGCTACTGCCAAATGGAAGGCACATTAGTCAAGCTTATGCTATTAATTTCCATTGTTTATCTGTTTATATGAAACTTATGAATCCTGACACTATGTTCCTCAGTTGCTATTTACTGTACTCCTCCACCGGAGACCCTTGGATTCCCTCCCCAACCCTGCCTGTCCCATACAGGTACCACACAACGTAGAGGTGGCCTCCCCCACTCAGTCATATAACACCCTCCCTCCCCAGCCAGTTATTACGGCAGAGAACCGGTTGTTAAAAAATTTGGAGCCCACCACTGCATAGCATATACTAAGTACTCCTAAGTATGAAGAATGTGCAAAAATTGTGTTATACTGTAGGCTTTCCCTTTCAATTTGCATTCAAAGATTGAATTTTTGAAAATATTTGCATTTAAAGGAGCATAGATTATATACAAGATTTTGTTACTGAAAAAAATCCATTTCATTTAAAACATTCACTTAAGAGTGAAATGTTAATTTGATTCAAAAGAAACACTCAGGATGGGTTGTTGTTCCCTCTATAGTCTATATTGTTTTTCAAACCTAAATCATTCTCCAAACATGCTACTTGCCTTTCTTTCTCAAAGCAAAAGGCTGTTTTCTATAAAAGCATGGCAAAATGTAACTGTTAATCCCAAAAGTATGTTTAGTGCTTTTTACAGATCATTGTATTTCATAAAAAAAGATAGTTCCTCTCAAGCCATGATTAGTGCTGCTCTCTGCTGCCTAAGTGTGGCATAACATATGTAATAAAGTGGACCGCAAAATAATACATTTTTGTTGTTTTCATTTAATCTATTAACAATGCATTTTTCACGTGAAATTTAGGTGGCAGTAGAAATTCATTTGGAAAACTAGAGGTAGAGACATATTGGATAATATGTATTCCATGAAATTGATTATATTCTTTATGCTGTGTTACAAATAAAAATATTTTCTTTTCATATGTATTTATTTGGTATATTTATATTAAATCTATATATATTTGGCATATTTATATTTAAACATGTGACTCTGGACAGCAGTTAAAAACACAAAAAAATAACATAAGAAAAACAAAACTATCAGTGGGTGAGCGCCTTCAGTTTCCCTAGTCACTTTACAAGTTGCATATCTATGTTCCTGGATCCCTAGGCCAGATGGTAAGGCCATGTCATCAGGCTATTTTGGAAGGCCAACAAGATGGAGCCAATCTGATCTAATGGTGTTCCAAAGGATAGGGGTCACAGCAAAAGAGGATCTCTACCTGGGTCTCATCAGATGACATTTTTTCATTGGCAGGACTCATAATATATCCTTCCTGATGGATCTGATAGAGTGGGTAGATGTGTCTGGTTGTTCTGACCTAGGCTTCCTAAGTCAGTAAAACACACGAGTAGTCCCAAAAACCTATTTAATTTCAATGGCTGTGAATTCTGTTCATTCGCAGATGAGTCCCAAATAGTTGTAAAGAGTCCTTCAGGATAAGGCTGATAATCACCCACCTTTATATCCCTTGACACGCTGCCTAAGACCACGGAGTCCAAAATCAAACAGAGCTTCAGACTTTAAACTGAACAGAATTAACAAGGTTGTTTTCTGCAAAGGCCACGTATCTTTGCTCCTCTTTTAAGTCTTATGGGAGGGGACAATCATCTCCAAGCCCTACTCCCAAGTCGTCCCTTTTGTTTTAACTGTTCTTGCCTTCTGGCAGCTTTGCACATGTGTGCACTGGGAACAGGCTCCCCGTTCCTCTGCCTCGCTGAGGTCTGCCTCTGGAGGCTCCCAGATGGCCCTTTCTCTGCCTCCGATGCAGAGCCTTCGTCCAAGCCTTCCCCAGACTCCAGGACTGCCCCATGTTCCTCCCCAATCTCCTCACTGTCCGACTCTGCTGCCAGCTCCACAGGCCGCCGGCGGACAACACTGGTGAGATACCTCAAATACCCATCTTCCAGATTGAAGAAGTGAGGTTCTACAATGAGGAATACCCATCTGAACTTCAACTGCTTTCATGTTGATGTACAGTATATCACAGAAGTGAGTACACCCTTTCACATTTTGTAAATATTTAAGTATCTCTTTTCATGTGACAACACTGAAGAAATGACACTTGGCTACAATGTAATGAGTATACAGCTTGTATAACAGTGTAAATGTGCTGTCCCCTCAAAATAACACAACACACAGCCATTAATGTCTAAACGGGTGGCAACAAAAGTGAATACCTTCCCAAGACATTTTACTGAGCAGAATATAGTAAAATGCAATTCAATATTCCATGTACACAAATGGACCAAATTGGGCATTCAATTTTAATTCTGGTGAATGAACAAAATCACCCATTACACTTTCCAACATCAAGCTATCTTAATGAATAAATTCTGCCTTAACCCTAACCATTTGAGTTTGTTCAATGCTAATTCTCTTCTAGAATTTAGACAATAATCTATGGACAAAATTGGACTGATCATCTGGCTAATTCTGATCTATTTTTGCCAACTCCAGCTTTGCACAACTGGTTGTTTCAGGAAAGCATACCTGCAGAGGATTATTTTATTACATAAATTTATACGTGTGATTCAAATTTGTTAAGTATAGCAATTAGTCTAGCAGAGAGAGAGAGATGGCAAGAACGTATTTTAAAATTCTTAAACACGAACACACTTTTCCCAGGAAAGATCTGATTTTGAAAGAATTTGACTAACATTTGTGTGGCCGTTTAATCACCGCTACAATAAAACCCTAGATAATTCCATCATGGTTCCTGTAAACCACGATAACATTTCAGGAAATATGCGCCACCCGAAAACAAACTCCCCCGCCCCCCGTCTGCTTAAAGGTCTTTTCTTAGCACGATTTCAAGAAGAAAATAAGATGCGGGGGGGGGGTTATTGCAGAAGACAAAACGCTCATTAAACAACTGCTGACTGGCAACGAAATCGGCACGCGCCAATTCCCTCGCCCCGCCCCTTTTATCGGCCTGCGATTTGGTTCCAACGGCGTCTTTTTCGTTTTTTTTCCGGTTTGGGGGAACTCGCGCCTCCGCGGAAGCCAATGAGGAGAGCGGCGCGCTACATGCATAAATTGCGCGCGCCGGAAGCGATTGTTTGCTGCCGAGGAGAAGCACAAGTGATCCTGATAACTGATACTGTGTCGCGGAGCTGCTGGAAGCCTGATCCCTTTTGGTGTGTCTGTGAGCGTAACATCAAGTAAGCCAAAGGTTTTCACTTCGGGATTCCCATCCTCTGTAGTGTCAGAACCAACTCTTGACTGCTCCCCGGTGCTTTTTGGGAGTCTGCATCCTGCGCTTTTCCTGCTTGTTTTGCCCGAAGAGGACAGGTTAACGGACTAGGCACGACTTTAATTTCCTAGCACCAAAGATTAAAAGCGATCATCATCTACGTTCGCATTAACATCACGACCCCAAACCTGTTCCCTTGTCTTATATTTTGAATATGGGGCGGATAAATTTTGCTGCTGACACTCTTCCCCTTAAAATCGAGTGAATGTAGTTTTATATTTAGTGCCGAAAGAAAGAGAACAAGAAGCTAAGGAAAAAAGTGACGTGGACTTAGTATATATTGAAACGCCTCTTTAGTGTGTGGGAGAGAAAATATAAAACATAACTAGGAATAGGCTTCATTAGACAATGTGTGGACGTTCCCAACTTCACTGTAAAGTTTTGTCAAAATTATGTCGGCTTTTATCTTTCATGTAATGTGATGTTTTTTTGTTACTGTAGAAGTGGATTTCTGCATAAGGCAAGGAGGTGAAGTAGATCTTGAATGTATCATCAAATCTGTATTTCTTAAAATATGTGTTATCGTTGGCAGTAGAACCAAAAATACAGTAGGATCACATTTATACATAATTGTAAAGTAGTGAGCAATAATATTAATAAGATATTAAAACAGTAAGGAAAACTGTTGTGTCGATCCTCTTGCGTGTTCTTAGGCACATGTTTCAAGTGTGTATAGTGAATAATACAAATTTTTGTCAATTTAAAATCCTCTAAATATAAACAGGTGGCAGATAACTCCATAATTAGTGCTATATAGTAATAGTATTCTTAACTATTTAGTGTGTTGGACAGAAACATTTTAACTTTATTGCAATGTATAAATGCTTATCTATCTTGTATGTGGTGTTTAAGTGCTAATTTTATTTTTATATTTGCAAATGTTATCTCTCTATTCTAGCAATTTGTTCTGCTGCAATGGGTGAACCACAGCAAGTGAGTGCCCTTCCTCCACCTCCAATGCAATATATTAAAGAATATACTGATGAAAATATTAGGAAAGGCATAGCTCCTAAGCCTCCACCGCCTATTAAAGATAGCTATATGATGTTTGGAAATCAGTTCCAGTGTGATGATCTAATTATTCGACCATTAGAAAGCCAGGGTATTGAACGATTGCATCCCATGCAGTTTGATCATAAAAAGGAATTAAGGAAACTCAACATGTCTATCCTGGTCAACTTCTTAGATCTCTTGGATATATTAATAAGAAGCCCAGGCAGCATAAAAAGAGAAGAGAAACTGGAAGATTTAAAACTGCTATTTGTTCATGTGCATCACCTTATAAATGAATATCGACCTCACCAAGCAAGAGAGACTTTGAGAGTCATGATGGAAGTGCAGAAACGTCAGCGTCTAGAAACTGCAGAGAGATTTCAGAAACACCTAGAACGAGTTGTAGAAATGATTCAGAATTGCTTGGCTTCTCTGCCAGAAGATTTACCTCATTCAGATGGAGGAATGAGAATAAAAGCTGAACCAATGGACACTGAAGACAGCATAAACTGTATTGGATCGAATGAACAGCAAAGAATAATTTCTAGCGTAAAAAAAGATCAGGTTTTGGATAAAGATGCTAACATGTGTAGCATTATTGATGAAATGACATGAAAAAGCTTTGGGTTTTGTGATTTTCAGGGAACATGCAACTGATGCTAAGGAATTAGAATATGACGTTTCTTTTCCTTTTGCTATGACAATTTAAACAGTAATGGAATACAATGTATAAATCAGTAAATATTGATAATTTATTTGTTTAGCTTTTGCATGTATATCTATGCTTGACTTTAAAGAGCGTCAATCTTACTGAGAACTTTACCTATTATGCTAACTGTGCAATTCATCAGTATCCAAATTTTGCTGATGAGCATTTATTGAAACATGGGAGGTACTTTAAGGAATTTAAATATATGTGGTGATTCCTTGTTTAGGTTAAATTAAAAGACATATTATACCACAGCAACACTGTTATGTATACAAAGTGGAAGTAAAGACAGTAAATGTTTTTTTCTTGTTATGAATGTTTGTGAATTAAAGCAACTGTTTCTAAAGATAAGTAAACTTGGTGACTAACATTTATTAAAAAGAATGAAATTCTAAATTCTTTGAGATAACTTTATCTTTAAAATATTTAACAGAAGACTTGATCAAAATTAGCCTTGTATTTTATAGGATGAGCCATATTGCTTCCCTCTGATTTAAATATAAGTCAATTTTATTAAGTTGTAAAACGGTGGTTCCTCAGATCGTGACTGCTTGTTAATGCTGACTGTGTTGAAATCTTTTGTCTATGTTTACTAAAGAATTGGAAGTGTGTAAATAGCATAGCCATAGTATGTATATATTCAACATTTACAGTGGGGCAAAAAAGTATTTAGTCAGCCACCAATTGTGCAAGTTCTCCCACTTAAAAAGATGAGAGAGGTCTGTAATTGTCATCATAGGTAGACCTCAACTATGAGAGACAAAATGAGAAAACAAATCCAGACAATCACATTGTCTGATTTGAAAAGAATTTATTTGCAAATTATGGTGGAAAGTAAGTATTTGGTCACCTACAAACAAGCAAGATTTCTGGCTCTCTCAGACCTGTAACTTCTTTAAGAGGCTCCTCTGTCCTCCACTCATTACCTGTATTAATGGCACCTGTTTGAACTTGTTATCAGTATAAAAGTCACCTGTCCACAACCTCAAACAGTCACACTCCAAACTCCACTATGGTGAAGACCAAAGAGCTGTCAAAGGACACCAGAAACAAAGTTGTAGACCTGCACCAGGCTGGGAAGACTGAATCTGCAATAGGCAAACAGTTTGGTGTGAATAAATCAATTGTGGGAGCAATAATTAGAAAATGGAAGACATACAAGACCACTGATAATCTCCCTCGATCTGGGGCTCCACGCAAGATCTCACCCCGTGGCGTCAAAATGATCACAAGAACGGTGAGCAAAAATCCCAGAACCACACGGGGGGACCTAGTGAATGACCTGCAGAGAGCTGGGACCAACGTGACAAAGGCTACCATCAGTAACACACTTCGCCGCCAGGGACTCAGATCTTGCAGTGCCAGACGTGTCCCCCTGCTTAAGCCAGTACATGTCCGGGCCCGTCTGAAGTTTGCTAGAGAGCATTTGGATGATCCAGAAGAGGATTGGGAGAATGTCATATGGTCAGATGAAACCAAAGTAGAACTGTTTGGTAGAAACACAACTCGTGTTTGGAGGAGAGAGAATGCTGAGTTGCATCCAAAGAACACCATACCTACTGTGAAGCATGGGGGTGGCAACATCATGCTTTGGGGCTGTTTCTCTGCAAAGAGACCAGGACGACTGATCCGTGTACAAGAAAGAATGAATGGGGCCATGTATCGTGAGATTTTGAGTGCAAACCTCCTTCCATCAGCAAGGGCATTGAAGATGAAACGTGGCTGGGTCTTTCAGCATGACAATGATCCCAAACACACTGCCCGGGCAACGAAGGAGTGGCTTCGTAAGAAGCATTTCAAGGTCCTGGAGTGGCCTAGCCAGTCTCCAGATCTCAACCCCATAGAAAACCTTTGGAGGGAGTTGAAAGTCCATGTTGCCCAGCGACAACCCCAAAACATCACTGCTCTAGAGGAGATCTGCATGGAGGAATGGGCCAACATACCAGCAACAGTGTGTGCCAACCTTGTGAAGACTTACAGAAAACGTTTGACCTCTGTCATTGCCAACAAAGGATATATAACAAAGTATTGAGATGAACTTTTGATATTGACCAAATACTTATTTTCCACCATAATTTGCAAATAAATTCTTTCCAAATCAGACAATGTGATTGTCTGGATTTGTTTTCTCATTTTGTCTCTCATAGTTGAGGTCTACCTATGATGACAATTACAGGCCTCTCTCATCTTTTTAAGTGGGAGAACTTGCACAATTGGTGGCTGACTAAATACTTTTTTGCCCCACTGTATATCACATACCATGCACTTAAAACATTTCTTCCTAATTTCTAAATTTCTACACAATCAGGAAAAGTTTCTATACAAGACGATTATTTATGGACCAAGAAAAAATACTTGCAAAAATGAATACTAACATATACATACCAAAGAACAAATTAAGTTGTGTATGTTACAAGATAATGAAATTATTTTTGATCTCTAGAGATTGAATAATTAAATTTTCTCAAATTCCATTTTCTGGGGAAAACGTGAGGGTGGCAGATATTTTTCTGACTTCAATCTATATAGAATTTTTAATTTGCTAGTATTGTGTAACCAGAGGTTGGTTTTGTACTAATTAAAAGTATTAGGGAAAGTCAGTAATGTTTTGCTTCTATTTATCCTCACCACCATGATTGCATTTCTTTATACCATATATCATGCAATTCAGAAAGTCTTCCAATTCTCAAAAGCAGCTTTCCAGAATAATCCTAATTTTTGTGCTGATTTTAATGGTTTTTTTGTTTTTTCCCTATATGTTGGGTATAGATATTTTTTATTTTATTGCGCTAATTTGAGTTATCTCAAAATTAGAAAGTACAGTTTGGCTAACAAAGAGAACAGTAATTAAAATTCACCTCAGGAATTCAATTATGTAACAAAATACTTATCCAAAAATTGTGCTTGGATATTTTATCCTAGTATTACTAATGATAATTGTAGTAGTAATATTTTAGCTACCTACTATCTTTGCAATGTTGATTCATCTACACTTCATAATTTGCATAAGAAAAAATTACAGTCAAATTTATAAACAAAAGAGTCCAAGAAATATGAACGTTTTTGTCTTGTTCTATCTTCATTTGGCATTTCAGATTTAGTAAACATTGACATAATTGTACAGTGGGCACCAAACCACGACAGCTTTTTCTAATCTTTTTTTTTTTTTTAAAAAAAGCTTTTATTTCAGAAAAAGTTTTCAAAAGCACTAAAATTAAAGCATTACCGAACACATTTTCATTCAGTATTTATAGCATGGAAAACTATAACAATCCAATTTCATTTTAATTCTGTGATGTTGGCTTTGTCTCATTTCCTAGAATATAATTTACACAGCTTTATCCTGCTGTTTTCTGTACCATAAAACACCCCCAGCAAGAAAACAGAAAACATAAAGGAAAGTTATGACAATGCATCCTTATACTGGCAGCTTTCTTATTACAGCAAAGATTAGATTCATGAGAAACTTACAGTTGGAATGGACTTTGGAAATCAAATCATCTAACATAATCCAACTCTCTGATCACTGAATGCAAGGTCTACAATGTTGGATGCTACTACATATCCCTGGTAGATAGCCATGGAGTCTGCTTAAATACTTCTATCGAAGAGAATACAACTATCTTTTTTCAACAGTATCTTACATTATTGAATATGTCTTAAGAATTAGTAATTTTTCTTAAGAATTTTTTTTTTATTACTAGCTTTTTCTAATCTATTTTTGTTTTTAATAATTCTACATTGCTGAGAATAGATGAAAGCCCATGTAAAGAGAAGCAGAAAAATAGCTCTGTTTTAAAATGAAATTAATAAATCGCTGTGGAATGAAGTTCTTTTTCTTGAAAACAGATGAAAATAATTTATGATGAGGAACAATGGGAGTTGATTTTTTTTCTCTTAATTATGTGCAACTTGTTTATGGAGATACCTGCAATAGTCTTAATATATAAATATAATGTAGCAGATTTTTTTGCCTCAGCAGGAGGAAGCACCAAGTTGACTTTGGCTGAGCTCAAAGGCTAAATTTGGATGTCTTCTCTCAGCAATTACATATAGATACTAAAAAACATCAGGTTTGGTACCTATAAAAGAGGAACAACCAAGCCAACCTCCCTTCCTCTCTAACTTCACTTCCTAATTAAAAAAGAATGGAATTGCTGCAAAATAAATGTTCCCAACCATTATAGACAGCTTAAAAGGATACCACAATTAATAGTATTGAACACTACTGAGGGGCTCTAAAAGGACCTAGAGTTGCTTTCCCTCATGGAAAGAATTTCCATCCCATGGCCAGGATTCCACCCCTAGAGCCTGGATATTGAACTCTCCTGGCCCCATTAGCAGGAGATTCCACCACCAGTGGCACTATGTAATCCAGGCACATCAGAATGGCTACTGCTATGCCTTTCCATATTGCACAAATCCCAAACGTGCATTTGCATTGAGACCCTCAAGAACAGTAAGATGGAAAGCATCCTGCAACATCAAGAGGACTCATTCAGAGGAACTGCCAATAAGGAATAATACTTTGAAAGCAAATGGCTTGAATCTCAGAGTGAAATATACATTAACTGAATAGTGGTGTGAATAGGTGAGAGCGCAAAATTGTGCCCTCAACTTGATATTGAGAACTGCAAAGTAAGTTACTTTGCTGCTATTATTGTTTCTCTGGTGACTATCCAGTAGACAGTTTTCTGGGTGATTAGAGGACTGTTGCAATCAGGCACAGTGATGGAGATCAGGGAATCTTCAGATGTCTACTGTGACAATGATGTAAGACCCAAAAGCAAAGTCAGGAGTTTTTATAAAGCTTGATGTTCATGCTGTATTGTATAAGTTAAGGAATGGCATTCAGAAAACCATGAGTGTGGATGTGTGGGACTGGTTTCAGCTGTTACAGTTTAATGATGGGCACAAGGTTTTAGAAAAAGTCTGGCTGACCACATGGATTCTTGACCGATCATGGCATGTGGAATCTAGCTAAAGGGAATTGATTAGGCAATTAGTACATCTTTGAGAAGGGACACAGTGGCTCAGTGGCTAAGACGCTGAGCTTGTTGATCAAAAGGTCAGCAGTTCAGCAGTTTGAATCCCTAGTGCCGCGTAATGGGGTGAGCTCCCGTTACTTGTCCTAGCTTCTGCCAACCTAGCAGTTTGAAAGCACGTAAAAAAATGCAAGTAGAAAAATAGGGACCACTTTTTGTGGGAAGGCGTTCCGTGTGCCTTTGGTGTTTAGTCATGCTGGCCACATGACCACGGAGATGTCTTCGGACAGCGCTGGCTCTTCGGCTTTGAAACGGAGATGAGCACCGCCCCCTAGAGTCGGGAATGACTAGCACATATGTGTGAGGGGAACCTTTACCTTTACCTTACTTACATCTTTGAGCCATGGACATAGTGGCCTTAATCTGGAAAACTCTCATCTACTCCTTAAAAAGAAAGCTATAATGAAACTGCTGGCTTCAGTGTACTCATTAAATACTTAGCTAATTCTTATTGAAGTTGATTTAAAATAAAGCTTTTTTCACAGTAGGAATACTTCTTTAATCATGTTTGTATATCCAAATTCATCCTGGTTTCTGCCATAATGACATCAAACCTGTTTTCAGAGTTGCTTCTGCAGCATTTTTATTTTTCTATTGAGAAATATTAATTTATTCTTGTAATCAGACTACATTACACTTTGGAAGATTTGTGAGAATTTGGCCTTTGCTCTAATCAGGTCTATTTTTCAGATTAATTTCACTTCTGTGACATCTAAACAGTAATTACAAACTGCAATTATGCTCTGTCTTGTAAAGGTTTCATTTGCTTACCTATTAAAAAGTTTCTGTCTAAAATGCATTGGCTCAAAGATTGGCCCACTCATCAAAAGTTGTGCCATGGGAATAGAGAGTACATAAAATATACAATCAGAAGGGAATGAGTTTTTTAATTGGAGTCCTCTTAATGTCATTTTTCCATTCTCTAACCTTTTATAAGGTTCTGCAAACTGTCAGCTTAAATTTTGCACAGAAAGTTTGCTGAGAAAGTTAAGTGTACACTTGTGCAAAATTCTAAAATTAGAAATAATTTTCAGGTAGCTGGGGGAAAAAAAGCCCAGCCAACATATTGAATCCCTCAGACCAAAAGTAATGAATGTTGAATTGATTAAAGTTTAGACTAATTGTGGAACTACATGAGTTTGGTAAAGCTTATTATTTACTTAATACAGATGCCTAGATGCCCTCAAAAAGTATTCCTGATGGTTTTGATAATTCTAGTCATATATCAGTGGAATAAACACACATATTCTGCTGTAATATAACACAATATTGCTCTGTGTTTTCTATTTATAAAATATCCTTTTACCAGAAACCAATATAGTGAGATTGTTTCCTCTCTTCCCCAAACTATCATCTTGGCATTTTTTCCTGAGCAGATGAGCACTTTTCCCAACAAAGTACAGGATTTTAACCCCATCACTGTACCTCATTGTTTTATTTTTAAGAATGTTTCGGAGGTTGGTGTGAAGTATAAAACTTAGCTGGACACTTCACTGAATCATACTTTAGCAGGAATGAAGTTGAGTATCCAGAACAGAATCCATGGCATGAGAATCAATTTTCTTTGCTGATTTTTGCCTCTTTTTGCAGAGTGATATAAAAAAGTTGCCTGACTGCATTTTCTCTTCCCTTCCTCTTACATCCCAGTGAATTAGGGTAAAGCTTCTAACACTTTTCCAGATTTAAAGCATGCATTTGTTTTTGTTAACTGTCTCTACACTCCCCCCCCCTCCATCCTTTCTATGGTCCAGATGATAGAAGAAAATTGAACCAGACCAGGTACAAAAAAGACAAGGCAACTGCTTAGTGGGGAGATAAGAGTTTATTTGACAGCAAAACAGGCAATGTAGCCATGAATTAAAAAGACAGGTATAGTGATGTTTATAGGAAAGCCTGTTCTTTGTTCAGGAAGCACACAACCATGTTTGCCTCAGGGGGTACATACTACATAAGGTCCAATAGGAAGAAAATGCAGCTTTCTCACCCTGTGGACATGATAATCTTTGCTCCTTTATGTGTTCAGGTATTAGTTTTTGGGTGATGGGTCTGGTATCAGGAGAATTACATTGTGTGACTAAAGGATTTCCATGTCTTCAGCAATTTTTTTTATTATGGCTGAGTTGCTTTTGTCAATTTTTTAAAGAGAAACATCCTTAAGTCAGTTTCTGCCTATGTGTCAATATAGGGGGAAAGACTTAAGCAGTCTTTGGCATTATTGTGTGTTGGTTCACTGACAGGTCAGGAGTGGTCAGGGTTTCACACAGGTATCAGGAACCTTCTGCCTCTCATTCAACATGGAATGGAACCATACTATCGTCTTGGGTTCAGTTGGATAAAGTTAAAGTTGGTATGCAAGTGATAGAACAAAATGTTTTGTTAGAAAACAAAGGGCTGAAGTTGCTATCTAATCTAATCCTCCAGGACTTCCTCTGACAATCCAATTTTTGGATAGATGGTCCTACTTCCCAACAAAGACCAGACCCATCCATGATTATGCAATTGGAGCTTTGTTTCTTTTCGCTGCATTGATCATGTAGTTGTGCCTGCCTTCCCCCCCTCCTCTGGATGACAATTTTTATTTTCTAAAATAGCAATGGAACCTGTCTATAGCTCAGAAGCATTCTTAGAAAGAAAGATATTACTAGAGGTGGTGCTGGGGGAAGGGGGACTATGGATAGGGATTTCCCTAGTCCAGGAATTGAGAAATCTATTTGCCCTGGAAGGATCTATACCCTCTTTCAAGAAGCAGATGCATACTGTGGCTGTTTTTAGAACTCTTGTTGAAGGCTTTTACGAAAAAAAAATTGAAGCTCTGGTAGGAATGCCCTCTTGGCAGTACCACATTTGCCAAGAATTTGCTATGCAGCATCTAAAAATAAGGCATTTTTGATACAGGAGCCCCAACTGTGAAATTATCTTTTTGTTCAGTTTGGGGTCATGTACTTTGTAAGCTTTTCATACCATCGGACAATGTATTTGCTTAATTAATTGTTTTAATTAAATAAGTAGTTTGAATTTATGCAGTTGTACCTTACACTGACTCTGAATTAAGGAGGTATTTTACAGTTGTAATTTTTTTTTTGTATCCCCAATTTGGAATTATTATGATTGTAAATGAAAAAAGGGAAAACAACATTTTGGAATAATAGAAGAACTAAAAAATAATAGTGGGATTTAAAAGCTAAAGCAAGCCCAGCAGAAATCCAGTTCTTTGAATTGGTTGTTCTATTCTATTCCATTCCATCCCATTCTGTCCTGCCCATCCAATTTGAACATTCCCACAGTCATGCCCACACAACTGTTTCAGTCAAGGCTTCTTTCTAGAGACTGCAACATTTATGACAGGAAGAGGAAGTTCTGGTCAAAGCTATATAAAGGGCACTGTGATTGATGACATGCAGCAGTCAGAAGTCAGAGAAGTTCAGAAACTTGTTTGGGAAACAAGCCTTCTATTAATCAGGTAGAAGGAAATCTTTTCTGTGGTACCATGTTTTCTTGCCTGCTTCTGAAACAGATCCTCCTCATGATATTAACAGGTAACTAAATTTTCCTAAAAGCTACACATAGATAACATCTTTGTAACAGTATTGCTTCAATCTCTTAGAGGATTTGGTAGTATGATTCTGGTCAGAATTTTGGCAAGTTATTGCATGTATTTTAAAGCTGCCATTCCAATACTAGGATGAAAATTGGATGGTTCACGTCTGAACAAACATAATAGAATTGGGATGGATGAATGAATGAGTGAAAATTAACATATTGACATCATCTTCATGTGTTATTTTTTACATGGTAGGAAATAAAGGTAGTATGCATGATAATATTAATCCAACACCAGCACTGACTTATTTAGAGTGTCCATTGAAGTTGATACTATTAATTTCTAATATTACATCTGAATCTTTTTTCTAATATGAGTGCAAAATGAAGCAAAAGTCAAAATAAAATGTATACATTTTTACAAATAACATTTGTAAATTTGAGACTCCTTGATTATCCTGTGTAGGGCAACTAAGTATAGGCAGTGGGTGATCTATAATCTTCATTAATGCCAATTGGAAAGGATTAGTTGTAATCATGTTGGGACTATATATCTAACATTAATTCCAATGTTCATGGTTATCTGGCTTAAAATAGACCGCAGTGACAACTGTGCACTAAGAACTTCTGAGGTTTCTCAATTGAGCATTATCTCATTGTGCAAATATGTGACTTAATTATATTTTCCCAGTTTTATAAAATAAGAATAAAATAGGAAAATATGGCCTTCTACCCACTGTATATAGTGACAAAAATGGTGCAAAGATATGAGAAACAAATTCTCAAAAACAAAAATAAGCTTTTAAAGTTTTTATTGCAGGATATTATCATCTATCTATCTATCTATCTATCTATCTATCTATCTATCTATCTATCTATCTATCTATCTATTTCCTGTTTCCCCTCTAAGTTCACTTTTCATCATATGCTAGCTCTGAATCACAAAGGTCTTCCTGTCTGAGTAATTAAGTGTTCTTTCATTTTTGGTAAGATATCACCTAATCCACTAAGAAAACGGTTGTTTGCTAGGCTGAGAAGACAATGTGTGAAGATGTTGTAGATCCTCCATCAGAAAAGTTATAACATGTTATAAATAATGTCCTGTTTAGTAACCAACAATTACATAAACAGTGTAATAGTATTCCACAGTGAGGACATGGTACTGATTTTTTTTTCATTTTATGAACATTTTAAAAAAGGTTATTTAGCCATAAAAATTTAATTTGGATGGAAAAAAATAGAGTTCCTGGCAGGCAACCATAAGGTGTGCGTGGGTATGTGTTTTAATCAGCATTTCCATCCTGCTTTTATTTTCTTTATATTACTCAGCAAACTGAGGCAGTGATGTCATAGTATCTGCTTGGGAGGATATTTCAGATGATAATTTCATTCTTCTAAGGAAAGCTGCTTAGAAGAAAATTATTTTAGAAGCTATGGCCTTATTTGTCCCAAACCAATCTTGTTTTTTTTTTTTTTTTAAAAAATAATAATAATTGTAACATTTCTTCTACAGGTTGCTTCACATCATATGCTGAAACTGTCATACAAGGAAAAGTGGGTGAAAACATCACTTTACCCTGTCATTATTCAGTTAAGGATAATCGACTCACAGATGTTTGTTGGGGACGAAGTTGCCCTTCAGTGGGTAGTTGTCCCAATAAAATGATTAGCATTAATAAATATCTGGAGATAGATGGGCAACTCCAAAAATACCATCTAATGGGAAGTGTCATTCAAGGGGATGTATCTCTGACCATTGCTAACATTACAGAAGATGATGGAGGGACATATTGTTGTCGAGTGGAGTATCAAGGCTTGTTCAATGATGGGAAAATATTTTTCAAATTACTGATCAAGGAAGGTGAGCAGAAGATTTAAATTTGTCACGTGCTCCTTTGGTATACTACAAAGGATTATTTTTTTTAAAAAAATATGCTTGTAAATTTGAAAAGAAGTATTATTTTTATGAACTTAATCTAATGACTGTCTCTCACTGCAGTGTCAGTACCATCTAAAATTATATACAAAATGATATTTACATGTGTTATGTATTTTGTGTGTGCTATTTATGAATTATGATATAGTCATTAACATTACTGGTTCTGTGTTTCATTTGATATGGAACTCTTCTACTGTGTTCTTTATAAAAGATACAACTCTATTCACACCCGCATACACTTTGTTATGAATGTATGTGTTCACCTACACACACACACACACACATATCATATGTATATTTCAGGGGTGGGTTCTACTTGCCTTTACTAGTGGTTCGCAACGGGGCCGTGCGCATGCGCAGAAGCTTCCTGATGACATCTGGGTCAGTGGGCGGAGCTTCCCACCGGTTTTACTACCAGTTTTTGCGAACCAGTCCGAACCGGGGACAACTCACCACTGGTATTTATACATAAAAATGTATGTATGTGTATATTCATGTATACACACACACACAAATATGTACATACACATATGTGTATATAAATATATGTATGGGTCTGTATGTCATCTGAAATGATGTGTCTCAAGTTATACGATCCAATTAAAACAAACATGAACCCCAAAAAGCATGTTCAGATACAAATATCAATCTAACACTATAAGATTTACAAATTTTATGGAATTCTGTCTTCCAAAAGTTGTATGTATGTATGTATGTATGTATGTATGTATGTATGTATGTATGAGGGGTGAGTTCTACTTACCTTTACTACCGGTTCGCAACAGGATCGCGCATGCACAGATCGCTTCTGATGACATCAGGGTCAGTGGGCGGAGTCTCCTGCCGGTTTTACTACCGGTTCTATAGAACTGGTCTGAACTGGGGGCGACCCACCACTGGTATGTATGTGTGTATGTATAGATAGAGATAGAGATAGAGATAGAGATAGAGATAGAGATAGAGATAGAGTTATACGTATACAAATTTGTTTTATTCTGTATTAATACTCCTATTTTTCAGCATTGCTTCATACAACGCCTATATATTTTAGTACGACTAATTTTGTTTCCGAACCAAAATCAGTATTCATTACTGAATCGCCACTCAATGTAAGTATCAATATAAAAATGTGTATGTTTCTGTGTTTCTCTGTGTGTGCATATGAATTGGTAGCTATTTATGCTAAGTCTTCTGAAACCTAGTACGCTTTATCTACTTCTCCTTTGTGTCGTCAATTTCCAGGAATTGACTATAAATTTTAGTGAGGGTCTGAAGAAAAAAAGGGGGAAAGTGTCGGTGTCCATGAATCATTGGGTGCCCATCCTTGCCATATCCTAACTATCATGTTTCAATGCTAGGCAGGAAAAGGCATTATGATACTTCTAAGAGGTTTATTCTGGGTTATATAAACAATGGAAATAGCATTGAGAAAATACACAATTTCTTGAGGAGCTCTGAGAGATAAAGAGCCAGAAGAGAACTCTGGTATTACTTTGGAGGAAGATGAAGAGCAAATTGGATCAAAAATATAAGAAAGATATTTAATCCATACTATGGATTAAATTGTGGCAAGTGTCTGCTAATAGTGGCCCTGTTTTAGGTGACCCAATTCCTGGTGGGAAGAGATATGTCATTGGACTATCCACAGGATTACTATGAGGAATATTTTTGCTATCTGACAAATAAAATTTCTTGGATCAGCTTAGAATTGGACTCTGAGTGGACATTTCCAGTTGAACTGCCCGAGGCAACGTTTTATAGGATTGTTTTAAGTAAATTCAGTTCTGTAAAGTGTCCTGAAGTTCTGCAGTTGGTAAACTTGGCCATCTGTTAGATCCAGGTCTCCCCTGAATGGTTAAAACTGCATAGGAGGTAACCTGTGACTGGACCCTGTAACTGGCTGCTTCTCTGAGGAAAGGTTAATCCCCAATGCCTTGAAAGAGGCCATGGTGCTTCTGCTTCTTAAGAGGTTATCTTTGGACTTAATGATGCTGGGCAATTTCCATCCAGTTTCCAACCTTCCATTTTAAGGGGAAGGTGGTAGGAGAGGATGGTCCCAGAGGACCCTAAAGAAACACATTATCTGGACCCATACCAGTTTGTTTTCATAGCCAATGTTGTTGTATTTATCAATAATCTGTGGTAGAACTGGAATGCGGTTGATGTTCATCTTGGTGCTCCTCAATCTCCCAGCAGTTTCTGATATATTTGATCATGGTATGCTGGGTAGGTCAGGTATCAGCAATACACTGTTATTCAATTATACAATTCAATACCAGGTGGACTAAGTGATGCTGTTGAGGTCCTGACCCAACACCTGGAGTCTGTGGAGATCTGGCTCAGGAAGAGCACACTCAGGCTCAATCCTAGCAAGAGTCAGGGACTGCTTTTTTTTTTTTTTTTACCTTCCCAGTTCTGGGAATATTCTATTTACCATTGCACAGTTTGCAAAAACTGAATTCAATTTTAAAAAGTAAAGATTGAAGGCCAACGTTATTATTATACTCAATTCTCTCCTTCTGTGACACCCCTAATAAACAAGCAGTGATGACAGTTCAAATCACAGTGGGAATACTGTGTGTATGGGTGTGTGTGTGTGTATCCAAATACTATTAGTATCTACATCACCAAAGTTCTAAGGAGAATTATAAATGGAACAGCAACTATTTTACTGCTAGAAAGAGATTCTAATATTTTTGCAGTCTCCCATCATGTCTCATTTTAAGATTGCTACTAACTGCATGGCGTGGGCTTTTTTTCACATCCCCATTTCTTCTTTTAGCTTTTTTTTTTAGCAATTTGCCAAAGAAGAGTTTATCTGAACACTTGCACAACATTTTGTGACTTTTCTTGTGACTAATTTTCCAACCACATAAGGGTGAGAGCCAGTTGAATCTTTTGTAGGCCAAATTTTGAATTTATAACTATATACTTTTAAAGTTTGAATAAAGCACGCACACACACACACACACACACACACACACACACACACACACACACACTAGAAGTGGGTTTCAGCAGGTTCTGACCAGTTCTGGAGAACCGGTAGCGGAAATTTTGAGTAGTTCGGAGAACCGGTAGTAAAAAATCTGACTGGCTCTGCCCCCATCTATTCTCTGCCTCCCAAGTCCCAGCTGATTGGGAGAAAATGGAGATTTTACAGTATCCTTCATCTGGAGTGGGGTGGGAATGGAGATTTTACAGTATCCTTCCTCTGCCACTCCCACCAAGCCATGCCCACCAAGCCAAGCCACGCCCACCAAGCCACACCCACAGAACTGGTAGTAAAAAATTTTGAAACCCACCACTGACACACACACACCCTAGAAGTGTCAGTTCTGAGGAAGAGTTAGAAACAAACAAATAGGAAGTAGTCTGATGAATGGCTTTCTTGTACTAAAATCTCAAATTGATGAGATAAATGCTCCTATTAACTCTCCTGAATGCTAATAATGTTAATAATTAATATACTTTAGAGCTTGCTAGCTCCAGTTGATTCTGGCTAGCTTTCATTAAGTAAACAAACTCTTCAGCTCAGCGTGGTTCTGCTGTGATGTTTTTTGTTTATTTGCTTTTCCAGAATATTTCATTATATAGGTCTATAATGGTAAAGGAGCAAGCAAAGAATTCACCTTATCGGATAGGCCTATACCTTGGAATTGGAACATGTGTAATTCTACTCGCCATTATAATCCTGCTAATTATAAAGTGTAAGTACTGTGACTTCTATTAAGGGTTTTTTGTGTGTGTGTATACTGGCCATGTAATACTTTGCCTTGCCATGTCCCTTTGCCATACTTTATTTAGTCTTTCTTATAGGCCACTTTGGTCTCTCTGTTATTCAGTAAGCCTTCATGGTATAGTAGCTTCACTGCATCTTCTTCATTGTCATTTAGATATTATTCCAATACTTCTTTTCCCTTTTTCCCTTTCCCTTTTTCAACCATTTGGTGTATTTGCAACATTCCACATCTACATATTTTCCTTGATAAGTAGAGTTTGCATGGATGAAGGACATGATCCGTTGTCATTATTTTTCTAATCTTCCTATCTAGGGCTTTTAGTTCTGCTGGAGTCTGCTCCACTATTCCAGCTGTGTATCTAATGACTGGAACTGACTATTCTTATTTCTAGGTCCTTGATTATCCAATCATGTGGCAGAGAGTCAAATGAATTCTTATAATCAATCCAAGCTACATTCAAATTGGACTTTCCTTCTCTTTGTTGTTGTTAGTTGCGAAGTCATGTCCAACCCATCATGACCCCATGGACAATGTTCCTCCAGGCCTTCCTGTCCTCTGCCATCCTCTGGAGTCCATTTAAGCTCACGTCCTACTGCTTCAGTGACTCCATCCAGCCACCTCATTCTTTGCCGTCCCCTTCTTCTTTTGCCCTCAATCTTTTCCAGCATTAGGCTCTTCTCCAGTAAGTCCTTCCTTCTTAGGTGGCCAAAGTATTTGAATTTCATCTTCAGGAGCTGGCCTTCTAAAGAGCAGTCAGGGTTGATCTCCTCTAGGACTGACCAGTTTGATCGCCTTGAAGTCCAAGGGACTTGCAGGAGTCTTCTCCAGTACCATAGTTCAAAGCCTCAATTCTTTGGTGCTCAGCCTTTCTTATGGTCCAACTTTCACAGCCATACATTGCAACTGGGAAAACCATAGCCTTGACTATATACACTTTTGTTGGCAGGGTGATGTCTCTGCTTTTTAGTATTCTGTCTAAATTTGGCATAGCTTTCCTCTCTAGGAGCAAGCGTCTTTTAATTTCTTGGCTGCAGTCCCCATGTGCGGTGATCTTGGAGCCCAGGAAAATAAAATCTGTCACTACCTCCATTTCTTCCCCATCTATTTGCCAGGAAGTTAGAGGGCCAGATGCCATGAACTTAGCTTTCTTAATGTTGAGTTTCAAGCCAATGTTCGCACTCTCCTTCTTTACCCGTATCAAGAGGCTCTTTAATTCCTCTTTACTTTCTGCTATTAGAGTGGTATCATCTGCATATCTGAGGTTGTTTATATTTCTCCCGGCAATCTTAATTCCAACTTGTGATTCATCTAGCCCCACCTTTCTCATGATGTACTCTGCATATAAGTTAAATAGGCAGGGTGACAGTATACAGCCTTGCCGGACTCCTTTCCCAATTTTGAACCAATCAGTGGTTCCGTGTCCAGTTCTCACTGTTGCTTCTTGACCCGCATATAGGTTTCTCAAGAGACAAATAAGATGATCTCTTTAAGAATTTGCCACAATTTGTTGTGATCCATACAATCAAAGGCTTTAGCATAGTCAATGAAGCAAAAGTAAAAGTATTTCTGGAACTCCCTAGCTTTTTCCATGATCCAGCATATGTTGGCAATTTGATCTCTAGTTCCTCTGTTTCTTCGGAATCCTGCCTGCACTTCTGGTAGTTCTCGATCCACATACTGCTGGAGCCTAGCTTGTAGGATTTTGAGCATACCTTTACTAGCATGTGAAATGTGTGCAATGGTGCAATAGTTTGAACACTCTTTGGCATTGCCTTTCTTTGGAATAGGAATGTAAACTGACCTTTTCCAATCCTGTGGCCACTGTTGAGTTTTCCAAATTTGCTGGCAAATTGAGCGTAGCGCTTTTACTGCATCGTCTTTTAAGATTTTGAATAGCTCAGCTGGAATACTGTCACCTCCATTAGCTTTGCTCAGGTTTCCTAAGGCCCATTTGACTTCACATTCTAGGATGTCTGGCTCGAGGTCAGTGACATAATCTTGACAATTAGAAACTGATTTTTTTGTTCCTTTGCTGTTTGGGCAGTTTCCTTTCTGTTCAGGTAGAAAGAGCTTGTTTTCAACTGGAGGCTGCTGGACTGCATCAGCTACCATTCATTAGCAATTTGAAAGTTGCTGGTAAGCAGATAATTGGCCTTTAGTTGCCTGGAGCTGCTCCTTTTGTTGGGTCTTTCATTATTAGGTTTTGACAGAAATTAACCAATTTCAATTTCACCTCCTTGCAGTATGTTGTCAATTGTTTTGGCAATGAGTGGTGTATAACAGATGTTTCAACCAAAAATGATGCAGTTCATCTTCGCCTGACCAAGTGCAGAACCTCTTTGCCCTTTTCTGCTGTTATTACATGTTCTTTCATTTCAGCTTATCTGTTATTCTTATCTACCTTCTTTAGCCAAGTTACATTCTTGTTGTTATATGTGGGTGATCTACAGTTAGATTCAAAGTCTAGGACTGGTGGAAACATAATAATTCAGGTTCTAACCAAAGACCAAAGAATGATTAACGTAACATCTAAGAATATAGGCGGTTCCAAGCAGGGTGCTTTTTTTGTAAAATTAGGGTGTTCAGGTCTGATAAATTCATTGTTTCCAGATCGAGGAAGCCTTATTATTATTTTTGCTAATATTAATCCTGATGTTAAATTTTATTTGTTTGTTTGTTTGTTTGTTTGTTTGTTTGTTTTACACATTTTTGAACTGCCCATCTCCCTCAGACAATATAGAATATTTGCAGTGAAACTTATCAGCTGAAATGGAAATACAGAGAAACTGCAGGAAGGGCCAATATCAAACAGCCAAAGTACTTCTTTACTAAAATCTGTCTTCTTGTTCTCAAATGTTTCTTTCCTTGCATAGAGGCTTCTTTTTTTCTACCTTCTTTTCAGTGAAATTAGGAATTATTGTGCCCCTGATTTTGAGCTCATTTCATTGTTGAGAGGTAAAACTTCTCAGAATTTCCCCTGAAAAATAAACCATAATTACTTCTGTTCTATCAAACTGAATGAAAATGGTAAAAGAAATACTCAGAAGAAATGTTGCCTAAGCACTACATTAAAATGCCATATGGTAGGATGACTTGGGATAGAGAGATTTCCTTTGTGTAGCACTTCTTGGTTTACCTTCTACTCCCAATGTATTTTGGGTTTCCCACTGCAACTGTTTACTTTAGTGAGTGAATATTGAAACAAGCCTGCTATATTTTCTGCAATGATCATTGGGATCTTTCTCCTTGATTAATCTGTTAATGTAAAATGTTAGAATAGAATAGAGCTGGAAGGGACCTTGGAGGTATTCTAGTCCAATCCCCTCCTCAAGCAGGAGAACCTATACCATTTCAGACAAGTGGCTGTCCAGTCTCTTCTTAAAAACTTCCAGTGATGAAGCACACACAACTTCAGAAGGCAAGCTGTTCCACTGGTTTATTATCTCACTGTTAGGAAGTGACTCCTTAATTAATAATCACCCAGCGACCCTCTTTAAGATGAACTGCCTCCTCCCGGAGAAGGAGGAGATTGAGGTCCACCTGAAGGGGCATGCTGAGGAATTTGTGGATTTTCTGGAAGACAAAATCGCTCAACTTTGTTCCCAGTTAGATCCCGGTGTGGTTGCTGATCCGGTGGAAGCCCCTGAGGACGTTCTTGCCCTGTTATCTGGGTGCAATTCAATGCTTAATGCATTGTAAGCCGCCCTGAGTCTCCGGAGAAGGGCTGCATATAAATCAAATTAAAAAAAAAAAAGGTGCTGGTTGTCACCTTTAAAGCCTTTCATGGCTTGGGACGAGGTTATCTGAGAGACCGTCTCTTGCCAGTCACATCTACCTGACCCATAAGAGTGGGGAGGCAGGAAATGCTCTGGGTCCCATCCCCGAGAGAGATACATCTGGTGGGTCCCAGAAGAAGGGCCTTCTCTGTGGTGGCTCCCTCTCTCTGGAACATCATTCCCCCAGAGATTAGAATGTCCCTCACTCTAGAACTCTTCCAGAAGGGGCTGAAGACCTGGTTCTGCCAGTGGGCTTGTGGAACCCAGAACAGGACGGAGCCGATTAAATGGCTTGTGTGATCTGCTGTCGCTGGGGCGGGGATGGGGGGTGATTTTATTATATTATACTATATTAATTTATTTGATTCTTTTTATTAGTGTTATTGTTTTAAATGTTTTAAATATTGTTTTATTATTTTAAATGTGGTTTTATATTCTGTAAGCTGCCTTGAGTCGCCATGGGCGAATAGGCCATTTATATTATATTGAATATAAATTCAATAAATAAATAAATAAATAAATAATTCTAGGTTGCTTTTCTCCTTGATTAGTTTCTATCCATTATTTCTTCTCTTACCTTCTGATGCTTTGGAAAATAAGTTGACACCCTTTTCTTTGTGACAACCTCTCAAATACTGGAATGCTGCTATTATGTCTCCCCCTCTAGTCTTTCTTTTCTCTACACTAGTCACACCCAATTCCTGCAAGCATTCTTCATATGTTTTAGTCTCCAGGCCTTTAATCATCTTTGTTGCTCTTCTCTACACTTTTTCTATAGTCTCAACATCTTTTTTTGTAATGTGGTGACCAAAATTGGATGCAGTATTCCAGGTTAGTTAGTTTACTTTATTGTCATTGCACCTCATACAATGAAATTAAATGCCATCTTCAGTGTACATTATACATAAAAAAACAAAAACAAAACACACATCCTTCATATTCTATACAACTGATATTGCATTAATATTGCACTATACAGTAGAATTCAATATAGTTACTGCTCTGGGATAGAAGCTGTTTTTCAGCCTATTTGTCCTTGTGTTTATTGTCCTGCACTGTCTGCCAGATGGTAATAGTTCAAAAAGAAAAGGGGTGCCCAGGATGAGATGGATCTTTAAGAATGTTTTTAACTTTCTTAAGGTAGTGGAAGCTACAAGGCTCTTCCAAAGAGCGGAGAGGGCAACCAATGATCCTCTGGGCAATGAGGTTAACCCTCTGGAGCACTGACCTATCTGCCACTGTGCAATTGGCAAACCATACACAGGTGCAGTAAATTAAAATACTCTCTATGGTGCAGCGGTAGAAGGTCACCAGCAGTTTTTCATTCAGTTGTTGTTCTCTGAGAAGTCTCAGGTAGTGTAATCTCTGCTGGGCCCTTTTGACCAGTGCTGAAATGTGAGTGCCCCAGGTCAGGTCCTATTTTATGATAACACCCAGAAACTTAAAACTAGCCACTTGCTCCACTTGGTCTCCCTTGATAACCAAGGGCTGGTCTTAACTAAGGTGTGGTCTTACTAAAGTTTTATAAAGCAATACTAATACTTCAACATGATTTTGATTCTATGTGTGGGAATCCAGATGATGTAATAAGCAAAGGTTAAAGCTTTCCACTTTCCAAAATTCTGGAGGACTCCTGACTCTGGTCAGATGTCAGAACCTCTAAAGACCTCCACCAAACTTTCTTCTGGCTTAGTTAGATATTTCACTCTGCCAGACCTTGCTAGAACATGAGTATTGTCATTAAGTGAAGCAAGCAAGAGAGCAAATGTGGTTTTTAAAACAGTGGGAACTGTAAAAGTTGTACTCTCAACAGGGGTGTGTAAAGCAGGAAAGGTTGAGAAGAATTACTGCCTGGTAGGGCTTGATAACCTCTCTTTTTATAACAAGCAATATCAGTAGGTTTGATTTTGATTTTATGATTTTGTGTATGTAGTGAATTCAGCTCCACTAGCAGTAGGTGCTTTAGAAGTGGATGTTATGCAGACACTCTCAAAGTACATAATTTGACTACTGTATCAAACCCAGAAAAAAAGACGTCTCATTCTTAAAATAATTGAGTAAATTGTTTTCATTTTCTTTCAAGTGAAAATTATTTGTTGCTCTGATTATCTTGCAGGGTACCTACACAAGAAGCAGAAGACAATTAATTCTACAAGGTAATTATTATTAAATATGTTTCGACTTGAATGGTAGGAAGAATAAAGCCCTCACTTATTATATAACTGCTACAAGGAAACACAATACACGAATATGATGTTAACAGTTCATGAATACATTGACCTTCAAAAAGGCTGACACCAACCTACCCTAACCATGAGAATGTGGTCACTTCAAACTTATTGGCTGCACAGAAATAGTTCCATGTATTTCAGACTACTAACTCAGCAGTCATACATACAAGAAATGTTTCATGTGATCAAATAGATGCAAATACAAATCTAAAAAAAAAAAAAAATCCAACGAATTTGAAATTTAAGGGATTTTGAATATTTAACTTGGTTTTGTTGCCAAAAGGAAAAGAAAAACTTGGTTTAAACAAAGCAATCTCAGAGGCACTTGGTAATTTTTTTGGCATTTCTCAAGAAATAAATAAATAAACATGTCTTTTCTATTTTTTTTTTGAGAAGAACATTCCAAGGAGAACGATGCATGCTAAGATTAGTAAGAAAGGAGGAAGTAATAAAGGAGGAAGAAAAATTGAACTAAAAAAGTTTAGTTCCTGTTTTTGTTTTGTTTTTGGCTTGAGATACTTTGAGTGAGTTATGTAAATTCTATGCACATTCACCCATCCACCCTTACCAATTCATTTCTAATCAATCAGATTTTTCAGAAATCGTATAGGACCCAAAATGGAGAATAATTTTTTTCTGAATTTTGTAGCATCTGTTGTGAAGGCTTTCCTATCCCATTTTCTAATCTTTTTCCAAAACAGCAGCAGCAGCAGCAGCAACAACAACAACAAAGGGAGATGGCAAGCTTATTGGGAGCATGCTGTTATAGCATCATTAAGGTGCATGGGGAAGTGAATTTATTAACAATTTAAAAGATGAAAATGGGTGACGCGTTATTATATGTTCTGTTTAGGGCAGAACATTTAATGCAGAAAGTGGATCAAAATAGCTTCTCTTCCTCTTGCAACACTGGAACCTAATTAACAGTACTGTTAAGTTGAATCATGGAGGTTTGACAATGAAACCGAACAAGTGCACTCAGTATAAGTAAGCTGAATGAAGGAAATTGCAGGATGTGAAAGGTGTTATTTTACTGGATGTATAGTTAAAAATGACAATCACAAGAGATGATTATAGTCTGCAATTTAACCAAAGAGGAAGGTAAGGCTATGATTGGCTAATTATCATAATGTAATATTGCATTCATGCCCAGCTAGAGTTCCTATAGCATCTGGGCAAATCTATGACATAATTCACTATGGCAGTTAAATTCTAATCTGATTTGTACTTTTGATTTTTACAGTCAAGTGGCATTTACAAATTCAGCAGCTCAAGGGATTCAGCATGTTGTCAGTGCTGATGTCCATGCACCGGAAAATATTTATCACTGCTTTTGAAGAATCATTTTAGCAGACTCATGTCAAAGAAGGCACTCTATTTGGAGCAGCATATTTGGCAAACAGATCTTGTAATAGACGGATATAGATTCAAGCTTTGTTTATATTAATGAAATCAAAGACAGAGACAAGAGAATCAGTTTTACAATCTTGCGGTAGAAATATTGTGCCTTGTTTAGCATCCCTCCCTATTAAAGTTGCGCAGGAGAACTGCCAGTTTCAGATAGTGCTCCAATACCCAGTTCTTCCTTCTTCTGACACTAAGTCCAATGGTCTGGACTGCTTATTTGTCATCCATCTGCCACAGGTAGAGACAAACTGCATTAGCACTTTGCTTATTTGCTTTCTATTACCAGCTGAAATTCGGTGAAAAAAAGTAGCCTTGGGATAGCTGGTTAGTACAAAATTAAGAGCTCATGTTTGGCTGTTATGGCCCTATAAAGTTGGCACATGCTGACCTGCTACATCCTCTTTTGAGCATTTGGATGGGATATAGAAAGGTAGGTAATACAGTACTTATGGACTTAACCTCAGTTGACATTTTTGGGCATAAGGTATAGTTTTCACAAGATATCTCTTCATTGTTATGAAATGCAGCCACAATCTTCTAGCATTTGGCTACCCATTTCTTATCTATGGCTGTTTTCCATGTGGACCCTGATTGAGGACCTGATTTTCCATGGTATGTCATTGTGTGAAGACTACCTGCAACTAATTGTCTGCTAAATGAGGAAGGCTATTATGAGGGGGGGGGGGGAAGGAAGGCTAGTATGTGCTATTTGCTCCTCTTAAACAAAATTCCTGATTACTGAGTGAGGCAATCTTGGCATGAAATACATTTCCTGCTATAAATCATGTGCAAGCTTTACTTGATGCATAATTTTTGCCAAAAAGCCTATTGAGTTGAGAAAGATACAAAAACATATGTCAAAAATGAAGGAGCTAAAGCAACTGAAAAGCTGTAATAGTTGATAGGTTGGGAAAAAATAACTAAAGTGGAGGGATCATTGTTTTTGTGGATAAAATTATGATCAATTTTATGTGGTAAAGGTGATAGATATTAACTCTATTTCATAATATAAAATTTTGAATGAGTGGTTATTATTTATGTTAGTACTTGCTTACATTATTAAAGACAATGTTCTAGAAAAGCTTTTTGTTTAGTTTTGACAGGCAATAATATGATTGTAGATTTAATAGGTATGAAGAGATAGAATTACAGAATCATTTGATGCCAAATATTTCTATATTTCTTTAAGACAATTCTCAGGCATTTCTTATTGTTTCTCAATGAAACTCAGTTTACCATCCATTGGTTATTTATGCCTTCTGATATAGTGTGCTGTACTCCTCCCATATACAAAATAACTGTAGGTTATTTTGCTATCTTGTTTACACTGAGTGTTAATCATTTCCATATCTTGATTTTCTTTGTCATTTACTGTTCCCTCATTCCTGTGAGCCAGGTTTGCAAATGAATGTAATTAATCTTTTTTAAAATGCTTTTACTGGGCTTTCCAGAACCTATTTCTGTATTACCATAGGCCAAAGGCCACACATAATATATCCATAGGAATAAGGGCTGCATAATTGATTGAACCATCTAACATTTGGATGGGGCTGCTTCTTTGAGAGTTTTTTTAAAACTATGACATGCCTACATCTCCCAGTTTTCCATTTCAAAATAGCAAGAAAATGTGTACTACTTTTCAAGAATTATGGCCACTGCTATCCTGCTGTGGAATGGGGATCTGAGGATCAAGTGTGGTCATAAAATCACAAATTGGCCTAATACCACCACCCAGATGATGCACTTGGATTTATAATGTTTGCTAGGTTATATGTCTGCATTTTATTTTTGATTCTATTATCTCTTCCCAATTGAAGTATGCTTTTCTTTTCTTTGTACATAGTCCAGATTTTTTTTCTAGATTTGTCATTCTTTGATACCTAACACAAACCTAAGCATATTGATGCTACTATATTTCAGATGATGTTTCCTCTGATGATAAAAAATATGTATATTCTTTAAGTGGTCGCTGAATTATCTTTGTTGAACAGTAAAGATTTTTTTAAACAAACAACACAGAAATTGGTAGATAATTATAATTAACAAGGATTTTGTTGCATTGTTGTCTGATACGGAATGCTACCAAAACATCTAGGTATATTTGAAGTTGCAGTATAACATATGTTTTATATATTTTCCCCATTATCACTTCCAGTTCCACTTTTCCCACTAGAAAGGTGCTGGAAAATATGTTTGTGTGAGATGGTCCGATGTATTGCTCTCATAGGTGCTGTGTGTTTTCAGTACTAAACACTTGAATTAGTTTTGATGATTTCATGTTCAGTTAGTTTTCAAACTGGATATAAAAATCAAGAAGTTTCCTTTAAAATTCTTGGCATTGATGTTTACAGAACTTGCTAAAGTCACATGTTGGAAAGTGAAAATAAGAACTACATTTCATTGTAATGTATTGTTAAAGAAGTAAGGAACAAAAACAGGGAAGAGGACTTTTTCTGAATACTTTTGCTTTCTCAGCTGGGGAAAAAGGGAGTTATTTACAGGAAAAAACATACTGAAGTGATAAACTTGATACCCTTTTTAATTGTAATACATTAGGAAAAATGTCTTATGTCTAATGTAGAGTAGGACTTGATTGAAACAGTCCCAATACTTACTAATCCAAAAGTCACAATATATTTTGAAGAACAGCCATTGCATAGGTCTGTGATGGTAAACCTATGGCACGTGTGCCACAGATGGCATGCCTAGCCATTTCGGTGGGTATGCAAGCTCATTTTTGGGCCTTCTGGGCCCACTGGAAGTCAGCAAAAGGGCCGTTTCTGGCCTCCGGAGGGCCTCCAGGGGGGCTGGGGTGGGGAAGGCCATTTTTGCCCTTCCCAAGTTCCTAGAAAGGCCCTGGAGCCTGGGGAGAGAGAAAAACGGGCCTACCAAGCCCACCAGCCATCGTGTGCCATTGCGTGCCAGGAGCAGAGGGGGGGAGCGGAGGGGTCACACATGCATGCGCGGGGGCGGGGCACATAGAATTATGGGTGTGGGCATGCGTGTGTGCAACACCACCTCCACCCCCGCTCTTGGCATGCGATGGCAAAAAGATTAGCCACCCCTGGCATAGGCTTTGCTACCAGCCAGATCAACTCAGTGACCCAACCATGTTTCTAAGACCCTACAAAATGCCTGAATTCCAAGAATGTTGTTTTGGCAAGATGATCTGATATATTAATGTAGCCATGACTTTTTCCAGGTTTACTTAGAAATGATTGGGAATAGCTTTTGATGCAGTTGTTTTAGCAATGCAGCAAGAGAAGCTTATTGTACATTCTATGTATTATTTTAATCCCTTCAAACATTTCTTTAATAAAAGAAGTTATATAAAAAGAAATTGCATCAATTATAAAGCCTTCCTTTGATAAACACCTTCCCTTTGGAGGCTACTGAAATTATTATGGGATGGAAGACGTATGCCCTGTCTTCATGAAATTTTGGAAATGGCAACTTCTATAATCCATGTCATTAATCCTGGGGCAGAAAAATAGCCTTGTAAATTATCAGAACTAAACTTTCAGACTGATTGTTTTTTTTTTGGGGGGGGGGGGAAGGACAGGGGGGAAGGGGTTCTCATATTCCAGGATCTTTTTTTCCCTAATTTTCTTTTAATAGCAGCACTTTCTCAGATTTTCCTCTGAAACAAAAGGAAGAACGTTGTCATTTTTGCTTCCCCTTTTTCCGTGGAATGGGGAAATGGATCCTTACACCATATCATTGGCATGGAATGTGTGCAGAGAAACTATAAAAACATGTTTTATTGAGTTACTGCTGTTCTTCTGATTTGTATATACACAATTTAATATTTTATATTCTCTTATGTTGTTTTTACCCTTTTCAATTGAAAGTCCATATTGAGGTGTGAGGCTTACCTCAATATTTCTAGCACTTGGGCAGCAAGATAGGAATTTTAGTTTCAAAATAACCGTAGCCATACAAGAGCAAGAGGGAGTGGAATCCAGGGAGTGGTTCACTGGAGAATACTGTATTTTGCACCGCAGTATAAGATGCAGCTTAGTTTTTGGGGAGGAAAATAGGAAAAAAAAATCTGCCTACCAGGTATTCATCTGGCTAGCGTCCTTAGTCTAGTCAGCTTCAGGACATTAGTTTGCTGGTTTTTATCCCCTGCTTGGGGATAAAAAACAGCTTCTAAACCACAACTGATCTTTGGAGAGAGAAGCAATGAGAAAAGCAGCCAAAGTACGGAGATCGCTTCACTCGCTAGCACCTCCTTAGGGCTGAAAAAAAGCTTCAAAAAAGCTACATTCGGAGTATAAGACGCACCCAAATTTTCAGCCTCTTTTAGGAGGGGGGAAAATGTGTGTCTTATACTCCGAAAAATATGGTATATTGTCTTTTCCCTTTTGACAACAATTTCCTTGATTTGACAACAATCAAATCAAAAAACCAGGTTTCACTTTTGGTGAATGAGCATTTGGTGAATGAGCATTTATTGTTACCTATGATCTCATGAAAGTCACTTGGGATCTCTGATGCAGAGAAAGGGACCTTTTAGAAAAATTGTTATTCTCCCCCCCCCAAAAAAAAAACAAAAACAAAACTCAGAAATACTTTTTCAGTGACTAATATTGGAAATTCTAGTGCAGAGAACTGATGCCAAGAAAAAGGATAGACAGCATTTCAGTCTGTCACAAATATAGGAGTCCTGATTGCTTGTTCTAGTATTTCCATTATTTTCCATGCCTTTCATCTTACAGTTATGGACTGCATCTCATTTAGAAAGGACATAGGGGAAAAACGCCTTGTTAACTTCTATGTCATAATGCAGGGACATGCCTCATGTGAAAGTCAATCCATATTTAGCTACATGCGTCAAACTTTCCTCCTGCAGGTGATGCTGGAGAGAAGCCAACACCTTTGAATGACATAGGCAGGACAGGTGATAGGACTTCTTAACCATGGTACTCCTAGGGAGAGCACTCTGATTCAGTAAGTGCCTGAATGGTTCTTAACACTACCCACATTGTCTAATGAATGGGCAGGTTTTGATTTCAATAACCCCCATAGACCAACCCAAAAGTCACTGGTTGTCATATCATATTGCCATGTCATGTCATATATCAATTCAGATTAATGGATTTAGGAATAAATCTCTACTTGAACCAAATTATCTTGAAGAGATCTTGCTTGAGAAATGCAAACGAGAAGCAGCATAGGAACCTGAGCACCCTTTCTTTCTGCCTTGCTGTCCATATCCCCATTTCTAATTATTTACTCAGACTTATGTCTGAATTTACAAAAGAGATCAGAAGATAGGAAACTCTATAGAATTCAAATGAATCCTGCTGGGATCTATTTAGATGGAAATGCATTGAACTAATTCATGAAGAACTGATACCAGCTGTCAGCATATTTAATGAAAGGTTAAAGAGAGTTTTGAGAGGCAACCATAAGAAGGAACTTTTCTCTAAAGGAGTCAGGGACTGAAAAGCTGGAACCCCTGGAGACAGGAATGACACCTCTTGTAAGTTTGTCAAGCAATGAAGCACTTAAATCTCAATATTCATAGTTTCCTTTCACTGGAAAGAAGTCCTTAGTTCTGGTTAATGATGAGTGAACTGATCCTGTTACAATGGCAACATTAATCAATCTGACATACACTCAGATGGCAGTTCTTTAGCATTACAAAGCAATTTGGCTTTTGCACATGTGCAAAGTGCATCTTAAAGAGATCAGCTTCTGCCTTAGGCACAAAGCCAGCTGGGTGACCTTTGGCCAGTTAGCCCTAAGAAGGAAACAGTGGCAAATGACTTGTGAATCTTGCCAAGAAAACTGCAGGGACTTGTCAAAAGTCAACATTGCCAAAGTCAACATTGATTCAAGGTCTTCATTAGATCATTACAACTGATGTGCAATCTAATCAGTCATTTTATTTCAGTCACTGATCTGCAAAACAAAAAGTTATTTTGGGGATAAAATGAATATATTCTATATTAATATATAGAAGGAGTATTATGAATGTTTGCCACCTTATAAAGTAATATAAAGAAGTTTGGCTCATGGCTCATGAATTAATTACGGCATCTTTCGGAAACTTCACAAAATGCAGGAATCTAAGGAATAAAATCTAAGAGATGATAGATAGATAGATAGATAGATAGATAGATAGATAGATAGATAGATAGATAGATAGATAGACAGACAGACAGATATAGTTATATAAATGATTTAAATCATTCTTTAAAATAACAAAATAGTGAAATTACTGATCTGATATACTGTATAGAACCATTATAATACATGTATCTGAAGAAAATGTGATTTATAAGGAACAATAATTTATAAATAGTGATTATGGGTTTTAAAAATTAGAGTCCAATTATAGTGACTATTTATAATGTTAAAATGACACTGACAGCTAATAAAAATAAGACATAAAACATTGATTGAAAATTGAAATTAAATCGACAGCTGCTAGATTATTAAGTAGTAAACTAATTTTATTGGATGCAATGTTTTCTTTTGATTTGTTCCATACCATACTAAAGGCATATAACCACAACAGTTAGTACTTTACTTTTTAGGTTGTACTGTATATATACAAGTACAAATTGGGTTGCATTGATGACAGGCTGATGAGCAACTGCAAGTGTAATATGATTTCTGATTTTAAAGTCACATAGCACCATTGCCTCTTAGCCAGACAAACGAGATTAACTATAGTGCTTGCCACAATATGTGACATAGAGCGTTCTCAGCATAATGAGAATTCTAAGCTATATACACCTTTTCAAAGCCTCCTTAATGATCCCAGAATCTATTTAAAAGGCTTCTGAGTGGCAATTTTTAGTGTTGTGGGGAAATGTGTGACAGCAATTACAAATGCATGTGTTAATTGTAAGTATATTTAACTTATTCAGATTTGGTTTTTTCTTCTTTGTGGCATACACTCAAAGGCCAAAAGTAATTGTCACATCCAAAAATTGGGGCCTCTTATAGTAGAAGAATGCAATTAAGATAAGTTACTTTCCACAATTAGCCCT